TAAGCAGTCAGAATATCTCGTGCATGCGCATACGAATAAATATAAATTTTTACGAGTCTCATTTACATGTAATAAATTACGTTTTTATCACCTGAACGAGAGAAATTAACAACAAACACTCGATAAATGCGGCATATTATTCGATGATAAAATAATATTAAATGAAATTTGTGTAAGGCTAAAGGCAAATATATTTTTTATATTTTTCTTATGCACTATAACGTAGAAATTTAATTGTTTATAAAAATTTAACTGTTAAAAGCATCGTAGAAAGAATTAAAGAAGTCACGACAAAGATATTCTTCGCGATATTAATTTTTCTCATATGCATCGATATGTTTCTATGTTTTCAGGAGTATACACTTTACAGCAACACTTACACGATCACGAGATTGTAATACCATGGAAGGTGAATCACCGAGGCAACTTAATTTCGCATAATGTTACTCATCATCATCACCAGGACGGGCCAATCGTTCATTATCGAATGACAGTGGCTGGTAACGAGTACCACCTCGAACTGACAGCTACTGATAACTTCATTGGTCGCGCAATGGTTGTGGAAAGGCGGAAGCGGGATCTGCACGTCCGCAGCCCGGCGAAAAGTCATGGCAGTAAATGTCATTATCGGGGATTTATTAAGGGTCATCGGAATTCCCGTGTCGCCCTGTCTGCCTGCGACGGTCTGGTGAGTTACACTTTCGATTTTTCAAGTCGCGTTTGCGCAGACTAATATTTGCAATCACGTTCGCAATCGATAGTCAAGAATCTAATATTTATGAGAAATTGTCCACCGATCTAATTTCATCAACATGATTCAATTTTACTATAATTCGATATAAAAACAAGGCGAAAAATAGAACAAATCGTTATAAAGTATAAAATATTTTTTTTAATTTTTTAAATAGAGAACCTAATTGTTTAAAGTCAATTGCACGAAGAGATCATTTACATGTTCCGTGATACAAAGTGATATAATGTGTCGAATCGCGTTAGAAACTTAAACGGAACGAGCGAAGTTTGAAATGATATAAAGTGGAAAGTGCGATTGAATCGTCAGGTCTGCAATTTGCAGACGAGAGGCAACTTTCCTGCTTTGCGCTACCGGCGATCTAATACATTCGCCGTGACTCGGAACTGCATGAAGAGTATAACGAGAGATAAAATCTGCACTGTCGACGACTGTCGAGCATTAACCGTCCGTATATAGGAACGAGGATCGAGAGCATGAGAGTCCTGCCGGCTAAATTATGAACTGTCGGACACGCGCGAGGCGTAATCAGCATTGTATATCTGCTTGGTTATGCTCGTGTCGGCGACTGGACACAAAGTTTCGGACACAAGTCAGTTCGACGAAATCTCTTTGTTCATAAAAGAGTGAGAGAGATAGAGTCCCACATGCGTTTGCGGGACTGTAAGTGGACGACAATCGATATATCAAGAGCGAATGCAATGCTCAACGTTATCTTACTTGCGAGCGACTGCAAGCATTCGCAACGTATCGCCCTTAAACCAACGATATACGAAACATGTTTTAGCTCGTTAGGCCTTTTCACTACAATCTCCACGGTGATTTGAAATCAATCATATTATACGCGCTTGTCTATCATATGACAGCAAATCTGTAGTCTGCAAACTATACGACTGCGACTTGCAAGACAGCGAGAAAATAAAACACATCTTTCGTGTCCTGCGGCCTTAGCGCTGATGAAAGCGACGAGATTCTTTTTTTCCGCGCTTAAAAATCGGTTTGTCGTTGCAGATTAATTAATGGATCCGGTCGACAACTCACGGCCAACAGCTCGAACGAAATCAGGTCGAATACTCTGATTGTAGCATAGCAGCCAATTTTTCAGGGGTGATTTATTGCGTATCTGACATGCACTTCTTTTACCAATATCGCGACGAAGTGAACGAAACTGTCAATGACAATTTAGTCGGACAAGAGAGGCTCTTTCGTATAACAAACTTATTTTCAAAAATCATTTATCGGTGTTATTTATGATATTAGAAACACATTCATTCCCTTCCTAAAAAAAAAGCATATTAAGCCGATTCTCGCAAGTATATATTGTTGCTTCTTTCCCGCCATGTTGATTGGTTGTCTCGATTCACGTTGTGCATTACATTCGTAACATTGAGAGGAGAGTTTGACACAATTTGTCCAAAATAAAATTTGGTAGCATCAAATGGTTGTTATCTCGAGGGTTAGCAATTTGACAATTTGTTCAAAGTAATTAAATAAAACAGTATTGTGTTTTAAATAATATGTTATAATATTTTAAACTCAATTAATATTTTGGCAGTTATCAGCCGATTTTTGTCAAAAAATATTAATCACGGATAAGGTATTATAACATATAATTTACAACATATTATTATTTTAATTTTTATAATATATTATTTCAAAATTTAATTAGTAAATTTTCGCTTTATTAATATTTTTAATAGAAATCAGCTGATAACTATCAAAAATATTAATCGGAGTTTAAAGTATTACAACATATTAGTTAAAACACATTATTTTATTTTATTTTATTTTGGATAAAACTGCTAACTCTCACGATGATAGCTTCTCAATACTACGAATATAAAGCACAACGCGAATCGAAACAACCAATCATCATTGCACAAAAGAGGCAATAATATTTGAAAAAATCGACTTAACATGCTTTTTGTAGGAAGGGATTAGTGCAACATAAGCTAGCGCTACGCGCATGCCATTCAATTTTATATTAAAAAGAAAGATATTTTTCAATTGTAGGGGATTATAACATATAATAACACATAAGGTATTATAACATATTATTTATAACATATTACTATCTTAATATTTTAACATATTTTTCTTAATTAGCAAATTAATGCTTTATTAATATTTTTGACAGAGATTAGCTGATTAAAGCGTTAATTTGCTAATTAAATTTTAAAATAATATTAAGTATATTCTAAAAATTAAAATAATAATATATTTTAAATATAATATGTTATAGTATTTTAAACTCGATTGATAAATTTTTCGACAGATATCAGCTGATTTCTATCAAAAAATATTATTTCGAGTTTAAAGTATTATAATATATTATTTATAACATTATTATTTTAATTCTTATAACATATTTTTATTATAAATTTTAATTAGCAAATAAATGCTTTAAATATCAGTTGATTTCTGTTAAAAAATATTAATCGAGTTTGAACAAACTTTATATTATTTCAAATATTATTTCTTTTAATATAAAATCGAGAAATGACGCGCGTATAGCGCGCTCTTGTATATTGTTCTAGTTACATAAAAATATGCATAATATAAAAATAATATGAAGTTCATCGCGCGCGTGCGCGAATCAGGCGCGGTTACTATATGATCTTTATATAAAGAAGTTATAAATATTCAAACATAACTTAATCTAATGTTATTTATTGTAATTATTTGAAAACAGAAACCTTTGATAAAGTAGTTAATGTGTAATATAGAAACGCGACCTTATAAAATCTACACGATATATTATTAAATATTTTAATCACAATAACATATCCGCGATAAAATACAATTTATATTTCAATATTAAAATAACTTTGTTTTAATTAATGACAAATTATCGACCAATATGAATGAATGGACTACAAAAAATTATAATAAAATTAGTACATTTATAAAATAATAAATTATTATATTTATAATTATTTATATAATTTATAATTACACAAACAGTTAATAATCATTAATGTGTTCTTTATAAAATAATTTAAATCAAATATATGACGTATTATAAAATGTTTTCTGTTCTTTTTTTAAAAAAAGATATATTCTATAATATTTCCTTTTTAACAAATATTTTTATCCAAATCTATATTGTAATCCATTCATTCATTTTGAGGTAACGTAACTATATCTACAGTCTACAATCTACAATCTAATTTCTATAATCTATTTTCTATAAAACCGTTACCTCGTAATAAAATAATAGTTCACTCACCAATCGATGCGGAGCTAGCTGAGTTGATCTGTAACATACAAATAGAATTTAAATTATAGCAGAACGTTCATAATAATTAATATTTCTAAAAATTAACAATCAACAAATATATATTAATAACAAATGACAAATATATATAAATGAATAACTTTAAAAATTGTGTAAAGACTTTTCTAATATATAAACTTTTATAGAAACTTTCATATAAACTTTTATATATCAAAAATATTTTTTTCTAATTCTCTTTTGTTTAAACCATTCAAATGTAGGAATAACATTAAAGTATACGCGATTTGTAACAAATATTATGAAAATATTTACCCCAAGGATGCTTGGCTGGCGCCCGATGCCTCTTAGGCCTGCTCCTTCTCTCAGGTTGATCAGGATTGTCCATTATCAAAGTCCTTTGGAGCGATACTTTAAACTCCCACACTAAAACGCCCGACACTTTAGACGACACTCTCGCACCAAAACGCGCGACACTTTGCACGACACTCCCGCTCTTAAACGCGCGACACTTTGTACGACACTCTCGTAATTAAACGCATTTGATATTTTGCACGATATTCGAATGTTTTATTGATGCTTGTGTTAAATTTCAAATCAATTAAATAATAATATTATTATAATAAAATTAATAATATTTAATAATACTAACAAAATTCAATAATAATCTCAAATGAATGAATTCTGAAATATTAATATAAAATTACGTTAAAATATTGAAATAAATATTGTATTATAACACGCAATGAGTAATTATAATTATATAATTATTTACAAAACGATTTATAATTACATATTTATATACCTAATCACAATTATTAGTGTATTCTTTATAAAATAAATTGAGTTAAATTTACTATGTGTTATAAAATGTTTTTAAATTAAAATTTGTCTTAATTTGTTGTAAGTTGTAATCTATTTATTTTGAAGTAACAGAACTATCTACAATCTACAATCTATAATCTACAATCTATACAATCTAGATCTACATTTTCATACTTTAAAACCGTTACTTCGTAATAAAATAATAATTTATCACTCACTACTAATGTGCAACAGCATAGTTTACTGTAAGTTACGTTGAGCTGTAACATATAAATAAAACAAAAGTTATAATAGCGCTTCAGATAATTAATTTCTCAAACAATTATTATTATATTAAATTTAATTTGCCAGACATACATAGTAATAAGAAATATTAATTAAATAATTATATAAGTTTTAATTGAATATAACTAATAAATTGATTTATTACAACTAATAAACTAATAATATTGTAAAATTAGTAATAAATATTCACTTTAAAGTAGCTTTGTTGGTGCCCGATGCCTTTCCTAGGCTTCCTCCTCAATAACTTGTGGTGTCGTCAATTACGTTGATCTGTAACATAAATAGAATAAAAATTGTAGTTAGCGCTTAAAAAAATTTATTTTTCAAACAATTATTATTGTATTAGATTTTGTTTTTTATGTGTACAATAATAATATAATGTAATAATAATTTTATTAATATAATATAAATATAATACATAATATATATTATAAAAATGTAATATAATAATAATATTAAAAATGTGTATTTATAATATATATTTAATATTTTTAATATCAATATTTTGAGTGTGAACTCAAAACCACGTAAATACCATACGTGTACATGAACTACTAAATCATCTCGTGTCACGAAACACGAGACGTGAGAACGATATCCAACAACGTCTTAATGAAATATCCCATTCCGTCGGCATCAGTACGTCCGTCAATGATAGTCGTTCAAGTGCGAAAGAGGATATCAATAAAACGAGTCTTAAAAGTTTATGCGATATAATAATATCTTTGCACGACATTCCTAAAATTAAAATTAAAACAAACAATACGATAAAAATAACGCGCGATTTTTATAGCACTCCCGAACTCAGAGATGCGAAATATTTTTCAGGGCACTCCTAAACTAATTAAAGCGCGGATATCGATCGGAAACGTTAAAAACCATTTAGGTACTTCTTCAGGCTAAATCTTTCTGAGTAAAGATACTGAAGCTTCCCATCCATAATGGGAGAACTTTTTTAATTAAAGTGAAGAATTACAAAATATATTACATTATTTGGAGCTGTAGAGTTAATAAATTATAAAAATATTAATAATAATATCAAAACCAATTCGAAATTTTACGCCTATTTTTAACTTCTCTATTTTTTCATGTTTATAGATTTTGAAGGATTTTAATAGATTTTACTTATATAAAAATTAGATCTTAATTGTATTGTGTGAGCTCTTATTTGATATCTGAAATAGTCAACCAAATAGTTTAGCACTTAAAGATTTAAAAAAGGAATTTTTGGCAAAGATTAAATAATTCAAAAGTAAGATAATTTGACTGCTTCAAATATTAATGCAGATATTAGATTAAACATTAAGATTGAATATAGAAGAAAAATTTTTCAACACTCGACGGTATAATTTTGTCATAGAAAAATATGAAGAAATATAATTTAAAATATATTAAATAGAAATGTAATATAATTCATGATCATTTTATAACTTATAAAATTTTTATTTTCTTTGAAGTCTCTCTCTCTCTTTCCTTGGCAATATGACTCTTCTTAAGCAAGATATACGCCCTTCATATGCGGCGCATGTTTCTAAAACACTTGAGAGAAATGGAAGTGGTATGCCAGCTATAACGAAGATTACACCGTTGTGAAAGTTGAAAATTTTCTGGAAACTGGGCGCGCAAAACAACGCACATTTTCTCTCGTCGGGCTGCGCACAGCCGCCGCAACCCTTTTATCATCATCTTGGACTGAAATTTATGTGTATTAGTCTACGCGTCATAACTGTGCAAACCGCCATGCCGACCACGCGCGAGCCACAAGAAGAGGGAACATTCGCGCAAAGTTTCCCTCGCGTGAACATAAAATCGTGGTATAACGGCATAGTATAAACGGACGGACGGAGGAATGCGAAGACGGGAAAAAGAATCTATCAGAGCACAAGTGCTGGTGGTGGAGAAACGGAGAACGTATACATATAGAAGTTTGTGCAAGCACGCATCAGCGCAATTTGCTCGCAGCTTCCAGATAATGATTTAATTTGCCACGGCTTGGCAGATTTATGACGGCGCACCTAGTCGTTGTCCGCGTACGCATTATAAATTGCACACGCGTTTAAGATTGCTCCAACCATCGATACTAATTGTAAATGTCCCATTGGTCCGACAGCGCGCGAACCCACTGGCAAGAGCTTCGCCTTATGGACGCCCGGTTCTCACGCAATACGTGTAATTGCTCAATTTTCTGCAAGAACCTTCTGCGGAACTGCATATCTTGACCCTGGTAATCGATCCCATCGTGCATATTATAGAGACACGAAATTTCGCGAAATCGTGGCGCTTCGCTATAATAATGCCACAAGGCAAGTCTGCATCGAACAGGTTCAGGTCAAGGTACTTGTACGCTGCGGGCTATATGGTAAATTTGCTTTCCTACGCTGAAAATGTTGGAAATCGACACCGGAAAAATTAATTTAATTTTTTTCTCTATTTAAAAACTAAAAGGGAAAAAAGAGAGAAAGACTTTGCGACGATGAAACCATAATATATATAGCTACTACGACAAAATGACGAACATTAAAAATAAAAATTAGCCTAAATCTTTATGTGATAATAAATGTTTACATTATCATCGATAATGAAACGGCTGATTTCGACATATATATACAGCTACTTGGTACGTGCAACTTTGTTTACCAAGGTCTTACATAGTGTACCTACCTCTCACGGGTGATACTCGTTTTTATTGGCCATAAAATCTGCAGCACACAGGCACGCGAGTATGCCCCCGTACGAGAGAAGGTGATTTCGACGCGTAACCGCTATAAAACTTGAGTCTACTCGTGCCACTTACGCTCGGTTTACGCGAAACTTAAGCCCTATTTAGCGGCGGATCATATAAGCCGCGTCGACTTAAAACCGCGATTAAATATCCTTTAACTTTTAAAATTGTGATTAAATCGTCGACTTTAGAACCGATTCTTCATAGCGATTATAACGAACAACTTTTTTAACTCTTTTAATGTGAGCGCATAGCTCATCTTACAATTAGATAAAATTATCTCTCCAGATAGAAATTAATGTAGAATTAATCATCAAGTATATTCAAAAGTAATTATTATAATATTTGAAATTTACGAGTTAAAATAGAAACGCAAATATGAGAACAATATACAATTTATGTGATAATAAATTCTTTGATATGCACATATATAAACACAAAATTCATATGTTAAATGTAAATTCATGCTTCATGTATTTATATATCGAACTGTTTAATTCTCGAATTGTAATGTGTTATAAATGATATGCTGTTTGTACAAAGTTTTCTCGTTCCTGCCGCTGATTAGAGCGTTTAATACTCGTCGATGCAATACCGCGAATAATCTTCATAATTGGCGATGATCTGCTCGTATCGTCATGTATGTCATCTGCTTTATGGATCTATGAGTATTTGTACGTAACGTGGTGTAAACAAAGCGTCTCGACTCTCATACTCGTGGCATTGTATTACTATACTTGCGCGTGTGCGCGTATATATGTATGCAACGAGAGGCCAAATGTAATTGGCGCCGATACGTAATGTTCAGTAATTTCAAGCTTGCCCGATAATAGCCTTATCCCTTGGGTTAATCCTCCGATACAATCTCCGCACTGGTTGCACTATAGTGAGTTAGAATTGAATCTAACGCTGGTCATCCCTTCGTTGTTCTAAATGTTGATTGCGTATTGAAGTCGGAGTAGAAACCTCAAATTGTATCACTTCTCTTTACTTTCTTTCGAAGGATGTAATTCAATGACTTTGTGATTAAATCGTCGACTTTAAAACCAATTCTTCATAGCAATTATAACGAACAACTTTTTTTAACTCTTTCAACCAAATTACTGTTATTCATTAAATTAAATCAAACTTCTAACTAAATTATTGTTATTCATTAAATTAAATCACATTATTTATATACACAATTGCTATGATATCTTTCTCATTTAATCATTTAATTTAAAATTGTTTAGAATAATAATTAAATTAACCCTAGATAATTAAATATCTCTTAAATAACTCTTCTAGACCGAATTTCATTATTATTTAACATCACATATATATATATATACGCGACAGAGATAGAGACAGAGAGAGAGAAAATGCAAAATTGAAACTTTATTTAAATTCACGTTGAGTTCAAAATTTATCGTCCGATACTCTTGTTATCTGTAGAGCAATTGCCCTCGCAGTATTTCGTAAACTATGTTACCCTTTCTACCAAAGGGAATAAAACGTGTATGGTAATTAATTTTACCCTCCACCCTAGGTCAGTCTTTTGTCACAATCACGAATATCGACGTTGTTTTCTTTATAAATCTCACAAGCCATATATTTGCGAACTAAATTGTTTTTCACACGAAAATTTTATCGGGCACGATCGAGCTTTTTTTCAACGACGAACAAAGATTTCTGGTCTACGCGATAAACGGCACGAATTTTATCTTTATAGCGCTTCAAAATGGGGATTCTTTAACTCGCTTATCTACAAGTGCACGAACACTTTATCGGCGCAAAAACGCGAGCTAGTATCATTGGGCAAATATCAAAGATACAAAGTCGGGACGTGTCTATTAAATTTCTAAGAATGATCACGAGAACCGATAAGCTCCAGTCACGATGACTGCAAGATGTGCCGTAGACATGCATCTTGTCGCGTGATTCTTTAACGAGCAGTATTTATCTATGTATAAGTTATTATTATTATTCCACCTGAACGAAGGAAACGATCGCTCCTTACGCAATTAGTTTCATCATAAACCACCATATCGATCATAAACGAATGTAGTAATAACATCGCATTTTATATTTCGATTAATCGCTCGCAAGATTTACAATTGCTACTTCAATCTTACTTACGAGTGTATCTTTTGTAATATTTTTTTTATTTTTTCTAATTGATTAAGTATATAGCTATAACTTGCAATTATGTTATTATGTTAAATTATTACATTATCTTATAATATTCTTCAAAAAATATATCCTAGAATATTCTTAATAAATAATTTAAACTTTATCTTCAGTTATTGGGAAAAAATTCAATTTTTGATTTTAAAGAAATTTAACTTTTGATTTTTGTTTCTGTATCATTTAATTTTTAACCTAAATTTTAACTTTACTTTCACTTTTAATGCTTATTTTTTCTAAATAATAATATTAAACTAAATTAGAAATCTCTCAAAGTTTTCACGTTTAAATGATTCTGCACATTTATGTTGTGTAATTTAAATCAATTAATACATAATATATATATATATATATATCTACCAATAGAGCCAAACGCGATGTTATTGCGAAAATTAGAAACTTGGGAATTCGTATCTTATTGTTGAGATTTCAAAATTCCCCTTGTTAATTCTCTTTTAACCCCCTGTAAAGAAATAGGCGAGAGTTTGGCTCTATTGGCCGATATAGATATACATATATATATATATATATATATATATATATATATATATATATATATGATATATATTAGCCGATAAAATTTTCGTGTGAAAAACAATTTAGTTCGCAAATATATATTATATATATATAATGTATTTATTTCGAGAGCTGACTATTTTTTAATATTTTTAAATTAATTAAATTTTCACACAGTAAAGAACGATTTTAAATTTGTTCAGAAATGCACAACCGATGTAAATATTTCGCGACACATATATATAATCATGCAAGTCTCGCGATCGATCTTCTACACCAATGTTACCTATTCGGAAACATTTTTGGCTAATGAGCAAATATTTTCCGCTCGTTGTACAAAATAAATTGCGACGCGCATGATTGCCATTTCCGGACACTCCATCAATTCCGCTTTTCCGCGCTTTCCATTCCCGCCAATTCCCAAGTTATAACCGTATAAAAAAAAGAATCATTGAAAATAATTGTTATTGCGAAGCGCAGCGACACAGCCGACGGCAAGAAATATCGGTTCCTACCGCGCATTACTCACGATCCGCTGAGACCGAGTTCGAAACAACTTCTTGAAGACTGTCCCGATGAATTATTCCGCGGTTACCCAGAAGCGTCCCAATGGACGAGGAATTGAAATACAAGCGGTATCGCGAAAACATTACAAACTCAGTCTTTAGCGACGCTGTTCTCCGCACGAATTTATCAACTGCGGCGCAGCAGCATGTGATATAATTGAAATAGAAATTCGCGAAGAGAGAAGCTACATCAATTTTATGTACAAAACTGTATTTATTTCATAGAAGAATTATTGTTGCAAAAAAGAAATATTACCGTCAATTTCGCTTACATATGGATGGTATTCTATCGCGTGCGTAGAAATATCCTCTACACAATAATGGATCGCCACCTCCGTTGTCGCATTTGGCAAGACGGTCACTATATCAGTAACAGTAACAGCTATCGTGTCAATAATTCGTGCAGTGGTAATATATCGCCGTTATATATCTTCTTTACAACCAACATGGATGCAACATGTGCACCGTGAGTATAAACAATCAACCTCCTCTCATTATCAGTATCACGATTTAATTTATCAGCTGCATTCTGAAAATATGCACGTTATATCGATTCATCGGATAAATTTGGTAGGAGATCGAATCGTCGCCTCATCAAACCAAAACAATTTTCTCCCCGTTCGTCATTTTAACGAATGGCTATTAATATTGGCAATTAATACATATATGTGTACCGTCCCACCGCAACCGATAGCAATCAGCACATTCAGTTGATTTATCATGAACCCCGTCGACTGAAGGCGTTGATGTTCTATACAAAAAAGCGAAATATCGTCGGCGCGAACTAGAGAGTTCGCGGGTACGTAGAAGTGAAACCCGAGACACAAAAGGGAGACACGATATAAATCAATAGGTCAATTAATTCTGCTTTCGTAACAAAGAGCGATTTGTCACCGGAGGGGAACCGAGCAAAAAATGAGAATGATCGTTATTGCGGCGCCAATGACAGGCGGCCGGGATATCGGCTTTCGCACGACATTATTCACTATATGTACAAAAATATATGCGACGAAAGGCCCGCCATGTCGAGCGGGCACACCAACGGCCGCCGGCCGTTTTCTCGTATCTACACGAGTATGTTCCGTGGAATGGAAAATTGAAATACGATTGGAAGGTGGAAGAGAGGAAAAAAAAAGAATCATGGCTGCGAGAGTCCGACATAATGCGCAATAGCGTAAACCGCGGCAAATATTTATGACTATATGTCTGCTCCCCGGTAGCGAAAGTTTAGAAGGCGTGAATACGGTTGGTACCACGCGAAAGCATGTGCGGGCGATTCGAATCCATGTGCTCGGCAGTAGGGGAACAGGTTCCAGATTTTATGCGCGGCGCGTACAAGCATGTATAATACGGTTAACATATAATTATTGGTAATAGATAATCAACGGTGAGCTGTTCCTCTCCGTTCAATTAATGCGTATCTATTCCTCCGGATCTAAGCGGGATGATGGGTGGTCCCTTATTACTTTCGAACAATTAGAACTTAATGACGTACTTACTTTTGTGTCTTTAGACATAAAAAAAATGATAGAGCAATTAAGATAGCGGACATTTTATCGCGCGCCAGAAGAGTGTATATTCCGCAATATCCGCGGATAACATCTCGTAGACTTAAGAGGCACCCTGTGCAAGGAATAAGAAGCCGGTAAGAAGTTCAATCTCGTGATAAATACTGCAACATGCTTTCCGAATATATGAGAACACGGAGACTTTCGGTATAATGGAATTCAACTTCGTTTTATAATAGTATCGTCGACCTATCGATCGCGGCATCTTTCAAATATCAACATAAAATAGAAAAGAACTAATATATCGAATCTTGTGTGTGAAACATTTATTCGAGAGGTCACTTTTTATAATCAGAGGTTTTTCAATCAGCATTAAGCCAAAATTATTCGATTTCGTAAATCGATTGAATAGATCTCATATGATACGCTATTATCGCAAAGACTCGTCTCAAACTCGCCAGATTTAGCTAAGATACAATATTAATTGTTGAAGATCATGGGCGGTGCAATCGCCGCGCGCGGGCGCTTTTTTATAGTCGGCATCTTTAATCTGTCCCCCATGGAAAACGAACCAGAACCGGCACACAAACACACATGCACACGGTACAACCATC